GCAGCTGTCATGTGGGCGATGAGGTAGAAGGGAGTTAGGGAACAGGAGCAGCTCGATTGGTTAGTTTTAATTTTATTTTTTTTTTTTTGGGCTATGTCAGAGTTCAGCGCATGTTTTTTGGGGGTGGTTGGCAAATCTAGAAAAATGCCAGGCACAGAAAAAAAAGACACAAACAAAGCAAATGACAAAAACAAATAAAAACACACACAATGGGCAGACGTTGGTGCTGCTTGTTAGCTGCCTGGGCACAAAACAACAACTTGAGACAAACAACAAGCAAATGCCGCAGCAGCACTAACAACAAACAACCGACAATAACAAAAACAAATGCAAATACAACCACACGAGGCTCAGCCAAACAGAGAAGCAAATAACGCGGGGGTGCAAATGAGAAAGAAAGAGATGGCGAGATCATTTGTTGTTGCCTGTTTTGGTTGCTGTTTGTATGGAGTACGAGTACGCGAGTATTGTCATTATTTATTTATGCTCAAAACGTTTCATTTTCATTTGGCCAAGGGAGTCTCGGCAGTGGTCGTTGCCAAAAAAAAAAAAAAACAATAACAAAAACAAAACTTGAAAACTGGGTTACTGGCGCCTGTTTCGGGCTACAAGATCGTGTCATGCGATTTCTATCTTTGTCGTCGGCGACAACCAATGCTGTCGAATTGCTGAAGAAGAAAAACTCTGAAAACCGAAACCGAAACAAGCCCAACAACTGACAACTGGGAATAAACACAGTTGTGTGTACTAAGCGACGGGAACGGGGACTTGAAACTGGGACTGTAACTGGGACTGTGACTGGGACTGGGACTGGGTCTGGCTCTGGTTTTTGGGGTTTTGGGACTGGCGCGACTCTTTGAAATCAAAAGTAAAGTGCCTGCTCCCCACATGAGCCAGCACATAAATGTGAGTAATATATATTTGAATATATTTTAAAATGATCTAGCACATGACTCACACGGAGCAGTAGCAAGTCAAAAACGTTTTCGTTGCTTTGGGCCTGGCAGCTTCTGACAGCGTCTGACAGTTAAGCTTAGCATCCGCCTCCCTCAATTTGCATTGTGGCATAATTGGGGTACAATAACTTTGCATTCAAGTTGGCCTTGTAAACTATATTTGAAGATATTTGTTGGCATTTCAAAGTTGAGGATGATAAATTGCTGTAATTTCTAGATAGATTTTGGTGTTGTTTTTTAGCCTATCTCAAAGAGAATTTTTTGTGATACGTTTTTTAAATAAATTTCAATTGAGAATCGTTGTACGCATTGTGATTAAAATCCAATAATAATTGTTAGTTTTAAATATATAAAATTATGCTTTTTTTTTTAGTTTTCCCCCAGCTACAAAAGTGCATGCAATCTTCGTCGAAGCAAGTTCTACACTATTTTTACTATTATTGTTAAATTTGCTTAAATTTAGGGCTTTTGGCTTGACAGTCGTACAAACAGCAATAACAATGTACCACAAAGTAGTCACGAATTAGCGTAGTTCACTTTGAAATAGACATTGAGTTGGGGGACTGGTTCTGGGATAGGGACTGGAATAAAGGCTGGTTGTGGGAGAGGCCAATAAGTATAGAGTCGACACATATGGGTGAGAATATGCTTGTTCCAGATGCAGCTGTTGCCACATATTTATGTATGTATTATATGCGAGTAGGTCTCAGTCATAAAACGCATTTTGTTGCAACAGTGTCGCGTTCGTTGCCTAAGTCTTTTGTTTGCTGACGCATGAGCGAATGCCCGAATGGACGAGTGAACGAGTGGCGGCTTGAATGGATAGTTGAATGTCTGACTGTCGTACTGATTTATGCGCTTGACCGCACAAGACACCTACGCACTCACACACACACCTACTCACGCACACGCACACACACACATACACATAAATATATGCCCATTAATATTTCATGCACATAAAAATACGATTATTCGTTCAGTTCGAGTTTTCCAGTTATCAAAACTGATAAGTAGCTTATGTAATAGCCCGAAAAAATGGGTTAAAAGTCGCACTGACAGTTTAATTTGACATACGCTTACGAAGAAGGCAGAAAGAGACAGATAGAAAGCGAAAGAGAGAGAAAGAGATAGAGATGACAGAGTACTTTATGTTTCTTTCCAATTTTCTTTCGCATTTGCTTAACAAGATTTGCTGTTGTTGTGCATATTGAATTGTCATTTCTTTTGACAATTTAATTTGGATTATGCCCCAGCTACCGAAATACCATACAAAAAAAAAAACAAATAACAAAACAAAAAGTAAAAAAAAAGGCAAAGCCGCAGGTAACGCTGAAGGCAGATAAAAAGCAGATGCTTATGTGTGTTGTATGTGGCTTGCGGCATGTCGCCTGTGGTCTTGTGGCTTGTGGCCGGGGCACGTTTTGTGGCCAAGTCCATTAAAAACAAAAGGCTCTCGAAAACGCATTGAAGATGTGTCCACGTCGCGTCGCCTGTTTACAGCTTGCAACGTAGTATATAATACAAATTATTAATGGCTGGCCACATCTTCCATTTCCGTCTTGACCCGCAGTTATGCAAAATGTTAGTCAAAAGGCCAAACGAAAGCAACCGTTGCCGCCACAACTAGAAATGTTAGCCTAACAAATGATTGCTACTTTGCCAGGTCTGCCAAAGTCAGACCCAAGTGCGTTCACCAGTTGCAACTACCACTCGCAACTCATAGTTTGCCACTTTGCAAATATTAATTGAAAATACGATTGGACTGCCGCCAAACTTTGAATTTCAATTTTAAATAAGTCTGCGACTGTGCAACAGCATTCGTTTTGGTCGAAAAATGTTAAGTGCCAACAGCAGCTGTTAACGCTATTGTGCTATGTTATTGTTAACATATGATGTTAAAGTCAAAGTTACAGTTGCCTGTTGCTGCTGTTGCTGTTTGAAAATTGTAACAACTTGTAGCGGAAGCCTGCAACTCTGTTATGGCCATTGTCTTTTTGGCTGTCTTTTGATTTTATCGCCCAAAAATCTACAATCAGCTACGTGTTGCATAAACATATTGATTTGGCTGGCTGCCGCTGCTGCTGTTGTTGTTGTTACTGGTTGTTGCTGTCGCTGCACATATAAACAAATCAGCTGGTGGCTAACAAACAATTGCATAAATCAATTTTACAGCAAAAAGAAAAGATTATTGGTGTATTCGTTGTTGTTGCTGATAGCTGGCGCCGCTGCTGGCGTTGCCATTGCCGCTCATATGCCGCGGCCCACAGTGCGTATGGCATAAACATTGTTGGCCCGTGTAAATTTGATTAAAAGCTCGTTTTACCACAATAGCAACAACAGTAAATTGAAGTGCCAAAAATTATGTTTTTTATTTTGGTGCATTGCTAATTTCAACTGTCTTGAGCACAAAATGACGCTTCCATTTATGATAAATGAAAGTAAAAGTACAAAATACTTACACTTCACAGATCATTAGCGTTGCTTGTTGTTTTTGTTGTTGGTTGTGCTGTTGTTGTCGGCCTCTTATGCGTGGCACGTTCAATGAACCAACAATAACAGCTGAGAGACAGTCAGTCAACTAGTCAACAAGTCAACTAGTCAGCTAGTCAGTTTTGATATGTATGTATGTAAAAGTCGTAGTCATTAAAAATAGAAATGCTCGCTGTGCAATCCAAAAACTTGTTCTTTCACTTTCAATGTCACGTCACAAAAACAAAACAAAAATAAAAAAAACTACAATTAAACACAAACATAACCAAAGACCTTCAACTTCAATTATTTACCTATCTGCAGCGCCCCTTGGCACCTCCAGCACCACTTCCACTTCCACCTGAACTAACTCTGGGGGCCACTTTTGCTGCTGCTGCTGCTGCTGCTGCTGCTGCCGCTGCTGCTGCTGGTGCTGCTGCTGCTTCTTCCGCCTGGAAATTAATTGCGGCATAAGCCAAACATTTTGCGAGTCAATGTACGTAATTTGAAAATCGTGCCAAAATAGTTGCAAAGCCAATTGCTGTGACTGGCTGCTTGCTGCTGGCTGCTGGCTGTCTACAGACTCGCTACAGGTGCAACGGCATCGCTTGGGTCTAACGATATGACACCCCCGCAAAATGCTTGACTATCTGTAAATAAGTATTCGTATTCGTATTCGGATTTGTATTTCTATTCGCATTCGCTGGCTGGCTGGCTGGCTGGCCGTCTTGCCTTGCTTGTTGCTCTCAGCTGTAGTCATTTGTCTGCATGTCGCTTTGTTGAATTGTCTATTTGTTTGCCAAAAAGTGCCAGTAAGACAAGTTGTTGTTGTTGTTGTTATTGTTGTTGGTGTTGTTGGCGTTAGTGCTAGTGTTAGTGTTGTTGCCTGAAAGCAATTTCATTTGTTGCCTTGCCGCTGCTGCTGCGACTGCTGCTGGTACAACAAATTACTATCATTGCTGTTAATAGTTCATTAAGTCACGGACGGCAGACGTGGCGCATGTGGTACGTGAAACATGAAACATAAAACGGACATAAAACTGCAAAAACGAAATTTCAAGTGGCAGAATAATTGAGTGAACGGCCAAAAAGATAAACAATTCAATTTTTGTTATTAAGTCATCAGTTAGACAAACAGATGACCGGCACATGAAATTTAGCTAAATTATCATAATAAATAATGCAAGATACTGCTTGTTATTGTGATTTTATTTTAATAACCAAGCAATTAGTTATTTTCTATTGCTTTCGTTAAAAGTTAAACAGTTTTGAGGTATAAAAATCGTTGGGTTTCTTATTTTAACAATTCTATATAGGTCGTATTTGGTTAGTATTATTATTAAGCAAATTCTGTTAAGATCTAAATGGCAGTTGCTAAATTACTTTCATTTTAGCAGTACAAATTAAAGAAGAAGTTAAATTTATAAAATATAATATCAAAAAATATATAACTATGGTGTAATGTTTACTAAAATTGTTTTTATAAAGTTGAGTTAAAATAACAATTCTGTTTTGCTCAAAGAATAAGGAATTATCATATTCATTAGTACATTTCTGAATAAATATATACAACTATTTCATCACAAATTCATTACAACAGATTTCACAACGTTCGAGCAGTTCATGGGCTGTTTTAGCCGGAGATGTGAGCTCCACAATACCACATCCGGAGAATATTGGCATCTCCTTGCGGTCCGCTTTGCGTCTAATCCAGGGCGAAGTGCGTCGCGAATCCAGCAGCACTGCGGGATTTGAAATGCGTTCCATTTGCGAATTGGAGGATCGCATTGAATGCAGTGTTGTTGTCGAGCCACGCCAGTCGGCCAAACGGGCCAGAGCTGCCTCCAAATCGCTGTCATCATATTCTGTCATCACAACCTGATCGGGGGAGAGGGATGCAGCGCTGGGCGTATTTAGATGACTCAATGGTCTTATGACTATCTCTGTGCTGCTGTTCGAAGAGAGTCGCGATGATGCACGCGATATAGATGGCGACTTTGTCTTGGGGTTGCTCGTGGTATAGATTGAGGAAGCTCTGGGCTGAGTCCTTGATGGAGTGCGTTGCACACAGACTACTTTCTGAGGTGTCGCTGTTGGTGTTGTATTTGTCTTTGGCAATGTAAGTCGCCTTTCCTCATGCGTGTCTATCGACGCAGATCTCAGAGCTGCTGGCAACTGTTCCGCATTGAGCCTTGATGGCGTGATTGTGGGCGTGGCTTGCGTGACAGTTGATTTGCTGTGCCTGCGTGTTTCCGCTGGCTCTGCAATAAAAGATGCGGCACGCGAGGCCAAAGGCGATGGCATTTTGTTGAAGCCTGCTGAAGCATGTTCCGTGTGTGACTTGGCGGCTGCTGAAGGGCTGCGCAGCAATGAGGTAACTGTTAAGGGCGTGGCCAACAGCAGCGCCGTGCTTATGTCACTTGATGAGTTAAACAATGATTTAAACATCTCACTTGGTCTCTCTTCTTTGCCGGCTTTGATGCTGGATTTTATTGGCTTGGCGTTGTTGCCGAAGACTTGAGGTCTTATGGGTTCAATTAGGGGCTTAGAGGCAGTCGTTTCCTTCTTCTTGGGCAAGATGCTCAAATGTGAGGTAGATCTTGCTGGCTGTATATTATGAACTTCTCGAATAGCACGATGTCCAAATCCTGCAACCATGCTTCTCCTTCTAACTGGACTATAAGTGCTGAGGGGTTCCTCGGGCAACACAGCTGGCTGCTCTCGGGCCCAAAGCGAACGACGTCCATTGAGCGCGGAGCCGACACGACCAGCGCCAGCGCGGCTTGTAATTGGAAGACTGATGCGTTCGCGATGTGGATTAAAGTCAAAGGTCCGCATGGTGGTGCCGCCCACATTCGAGAGCCGGGAACTGGCACGCGACACACTGCCCGGCTGCTCAGAGCCCACGAACTTGGCATAATCACGGTGGCCCCGTCGGGTGGGCGGAGCCGGTGTCAAGTGGCCGCTGGACAGGTCCGACTGTGACTGGGAGGCGCTCGACATTGAGTTGCCATCGCTGAAGTGGCCATCGCGATGGCCAGGCTTATCCCTCATGCTGGTGTAGTCTTTGTAGACGGAAAATTGATTTTTGGTACGCGCAAAACTCTCATAGGGCCTGAACTTGCGACTCTTGGCCAACTGATCGGCAAACTTCTCCCATTCGGTGGTATTTGGACGGCGTTGCTCCTCTTCCTCCTTGTCTTTGCTTCGATCCCACTGACTGCTGCTGTGGTGTGTGCATAAGTATTGTGTGTATACGTGTTTGTGTGTGTTTGTTTGTTAGTAAGTATAATTTGTTGCTACAGTTTTTTTTTTAGGTACTTTGCTTAAAAAACTCTTGCCAAATTGATCATGGTTATAAAAAATTAATGACTGTCTGTGGATCGTCTGCTATCTGCATTATTCGACTGCATAGCAAGAACAGAATAACAAATCATTAGCCTCAGAAAAACTTTACAGAAATATAACGTCTTAGTTACAGAGATAATTCCAAATTGCAGTCAAATCAAATTTCTTAAAGTGTTAATTAAAAAAAATAAAAATGAGTAGTAAACTTAAATTTAAATAATTTGTATAGAGAAGTTTTCAAGGTTATCGAGACATCCGCATTCAAAAGGGTGTAAAAATAACAAGTAAAATAATCATATTTTACATTTCTTTCAGACACTTAATTTATAATTATCAAGAGTCTTTTTTACAAACTTCCACAGGCCAATGTTGTATTATTTAGTGTGTGTATATATGACTGATGTATAGATAAATATATATTTAAATATTACCAATACTACGTACAAGAGTTGCTGTTGTTGTTCTTGTTAGCTAGCTAGTAATTGCTAGATCGCCATAATAAGAAATGCAGAGTATATGATATGTACATAGAGATAAAAGTTATTTATTTACAATTTACATATATTTTTGGATAGAGAGAGAGAGAGAGAAAGAGAGTAGTATATATGTATATATATATATAGAAGATAAATATATTATTTTATATAGTTTATAGTATGATAAGTATTTACTTCGACTTCGATAACTACAAAACGATAAATACAAAAGCTATACTACAAACTACGCGATAGATTATGATGCATCAGAGGGTGCAGCAGAGATTCTACGGTTTTGATTCAGTGGCACTACGTGGCTCAATGCAGCGTGGCTCTATGTGCTCACTAGGCTTACTTACTCCTCCACGGTTGCCGCCACAGTTGTTGCTGCAGTCTCCTCTGTGCTTGCCACCACAGTGGCAGCCACAGTGGCCGCCACAGCGGCAGTCGCCTCGCTGCCCACTTGGGTGCTCAGCTCGGCCATTTCCTGCAGCGATGGCTTGGGAGTTGGTGGCGCCTCCTCCTCATTGTCCGCACTGTTTGCCAGCGCTCGCTCAATCTCCGGCTCTGGCGTCGACGTCTTCAGACTGTCCGCATCCCCATCGAGTGCTGGTGTTGGTGCTCGTGATGCACTCGTTGCCACATGCTTCGCATCCGTATCCGCATTCGCATCTGCTTTTGTCTCCAGATGCAGTCCCTCCATCACTTTGTGCTTGACTTCGTCCAGTGCGTCTGTGCCATCCTTGAACGCAGTGCCCAGCTCATTGGTAATGCCCGCCACTGCTGTGCTTACTGTCTCCTTTGCCGTGTCAACTGTTGCGCCAATCGCTTGTGTCGCATCTGGAAAAGAGACAAATTCGTAAACGTTTTGTTAACACGCACTTTTTATAGTACATGTGTGTTTTGGGCGTATTGATTAATTGGCCTTTAGTCGGTCGTTAACCTGTCTGTCAATCAAACAAACTGCATTCAATCGATAGACGGCGACAAAATAAAATCAGTTTTGGTGGAGGCGATACCCTGTGCATAGCTAGCCTAATTGTCTCTGAAATAATACAAGTTCTAAATAGAAATAATACTTGCTATATACTACATAAAATATATATATAAATACATACTTATTTCCATGTGTATATATTCCAGGATGAGCACATTTTTCAATTTCATTACAGCCATATCAATACTACATATCAATCAGCGTACAGGGTATATAATATTTATTGTTTGTGTTTGTGCCTCTGGTTGCCATTAGGCTTCCAACCTACTGATTAGATGTTAATCGTGTTGGAAATATTAACGAATACAAAATGAATTAAATACATTTTGTTGAGATAGACTTTAATCAGCTTTAAATATGAGACAAATTGGCTTTAGTTTGATTAGGCTGCAAAGTTAATTCGGCGTGACTCTGACTGCGTGTAGCAGGTCTACAATTAGTCGGGTTTTCCATGTAATTAAATCTTATGAATTTGCGTAATTTGGCAAAGTGAATCAATCAATCAATGTGCTAGCAAAATGCCACTAACGCGTTTATGTAAATTTTTACCTATGCATATTATTTAAAATAGAAGCAGTGCGCTCCAATTTGCTGAACTCTGCTCGGTCACGCAATAAACTCATTTTTCTTCATATGCTTTTAATATAAATATGTAAATAAAATATGTACATATAAAAGTGTATTAAGTACGTTGTCCTTGTAAGCACGTACACATACGCCGCAGCTACTCATAAAAGTGCTGAAAGGAAGGACACGCAGCTTTTGTTTTGGGTTTTTTTTGTTTTCTTTCTTTGCGCTGCTTGCTCAATTGTCCCTAATAAGTTGGCATTACATTTGGGCCAGGCTAATAATGAGCAACGTGTATTCAATAAACCAACTGGCCAATGATAGGTTTGGTGTCAAGGGCCAACAGTAACTTTATTAGGATAATGTATAATATTTTCGATTGATTTGCCGACACGCACTTATGCAAATATTAAGTATACGTAAACTGTTTAGCATTTGTGGGCCGATTGCACCCGTTTTATTATTAAGAAATGCGCTTTTTAAATGCCAAACAGACAAACACAAGCATACACACACCTTCAACGGCGGCTTCGCCTTGCTTCTTGACATCGCTTGCCACATGAGTGGCGGCTTTTAGCATTTCACTGCCTGCAGTTGCCACCATTGGAGTGCTGCTAGCACAGCCCATTGCTATAGGTGTTGTATATATATAGAACTACAAGTTGCTTAGTTTTTTTCTTGGTTTTCTTTATTGCAGCCACTAAATGTACAAAATTGAAATCATATCGAAAGCAAAAGTGATATATATGAACACAAAAAAAAAAGAACTTCAAATATGAACGGAACACAACGCGCCCGCCTTTGGTCACGAACTAAACGCAACTGAACTGACCAAAAAGGATAGAACCATAGGATAGGGTCAGTTAGCCAAGTCCACTCAGTCAGGTGAAGCATGAGTAGCTTTACCTTGGTCAGAACGCAATAGTTATAGCAATAGCAACAGCAATGTCAGTACAACGGCTACCTACCTACTTACACATACACAACAAGTACTCGTTGTGCTGTGGGGCACGCAACAGGACCTCGGCTTAGAGCATTTGGCCATTTGAGTGTAGGCTTGTGTGCGTTTGGCACTTCAAGTAAACCAAATTGTTGAGGTCATGCGCGTTGTGTGCATATTGATAGGCCAAAAGGGTTTCACTTCAGTTGCTCCTGCTGTTGCTGCTAAACAACAAAAACCGACTATCTTCGATACGCCGAAGATTACATACACTTGCAGGCGACTTTATAATTTCATTATATACATACAAAATAAACGAATGATTGTTAATATGGTAACAAAATGATATACCGATCGATTCGGCCTGTTTCATCATTTATATCAAGTTTAAGCATTCAAAACTAGGAAAGCAGACGGATAGCTTGACATGACTATATCTACGCGAATGGTAATATTGCTGATAAGAAATATATTCTATTTTGTGTAGAGGAAGTCTCCGTCATTGCGTTACAATCTGCACAACAAAATGAAACTAACCTGAAGGGTATGATAAGTGTAGAAACTAAAATAGGCTAAATATGAGTAACTCGCATAGCACTTGTAGCGTGCCTAGATGGCGTGTCTGACTACGCTTTGACCTGCCGATAGATGGCGTGCCTTTGAAATTCGACACACATAAATGTATGCGTATGCATATGTACATGTGTATGTGTGTGTGTGTGTGCGTGTGTGCGTGCGAGTATAATCAGTCAAAAGCTTTTTAGTCTAGCATATGACGTAGTTTTTCACTTGTTGGTCTAGTTTGTGTTGGTCTACAGAAAAATAATACAAACACCAAAATGATTTCTAAAATGGCATTGATTTTGAAAATCTGTGTAACTGTGTAAAATTTGGAACTGTCCGCAAGTGACTTTTGTGAGATAACAATTTGACATTAACACCACCAACCAGAATCGTGGGCATAGTTAGTCAACACCATTGAATGCTTCGTTTATTTTGATTTGCCTCGTTTTAATAGATAAAGTGTGTCTACAGTTCTTGGGCACCCCCTTCTATTTATTTTGTCTTTCCATTATCTTTAAATGTTTTTGCTTAGTACTTTTTATTCCTAAGCATTTTGGCTATTGTCTTCTGTGCCAGTTAGCCGTACAGCTACAGTGAAACCCACACAGAGACACAGAGGAACAGCTTAAAAAAAGATCTCGATCTTCACGATGGTGGATGCCAGTTAAGATTTGCCACGTAGCGTTGCGTTGTTCTTTTTGTCGCTGAACATTTACGAAAATTGATTTTTGATTTATATTTTGGCTTGTTGTTTTTGTTGGTTTTTTTTTGCGATCGTCGCGACGTCCGTCGATTTAAGGCTGACTGAGTGAGTTGGTTGGTTGTTTGGTTGTTTGGTTAGTTGGTTGGCTGCGTTGGCTTTTCAGCTGGCTGGTTCGACGAATGGGTTTTTGCTCGTGATTTATGTCAGTCAGAGGCAGTGACAGCGCTTTTCATGAGCCAATAAAGTTGTCCATGTCGCTTTGTCATATTCATATATCATTGCCATACACCCGGCGACTTATGTCACATGTTCCACTCCGATTTTCGACTCCATCTCCATCTCCATCTCCAACCCCAACTCCAACTCCATCTGCATCGCCGGCTTGAAATGCGAATACAAATATGAGTGCTCTATTGGAGAGCCTGCGTATAAGCGAGGCTTAAGTGCACGATCGAATTGTGGACGGTTGGATGGATGGATGGACGGGCAACAAGGGTGACAAAACACAATTTGGACGTTGCGAGCTGAACACTCAAAAACTCGCATATAAATCAGCGCACGCAGCTGGCCAAGACTCGCTGCGGTTCATTAGACTTCAGCTGTTGGCTCCCATGTCTGTCTGACGTTAATTACATAAGCTAAGCGGCGCTTAATTATGTGCTCAACAATAGCGCCAAAAGTGCTCAAAACTCACATGATGTAATGGCCCCCTCCCGGTACCAAACGGTATGCGAAAGTTGATTGTTGTTATATACCCTTGACGGCTGGTTACCTTAACTTGTTAGCAATGCTTGATGTTGTTGAACAACAACAAAAAATCCACCTGTTTTACAGTAGCAACCATAAATCACTTGGCGGAATTCCAATCCAAATGAATTGCAATTGTGAAACTACGAGATTTGATTGGTAGCAAGAATATTTCTATTTCATCCTCTCAGAAATCAAACAAACACTTGAAAGCTCACGAATAGTTTTTCATTGAGATGGGAAAAATACTCAAATCGAGTTACAAATATTAAATTTCACTTTGAATTGAGCACATGACTTACATATATTTTAGAAAACTTTCGATTTGATTGTATGACACACGTTTCGGCACTCAAATCATATTCAAGGGTATTACATTTTCAGCATGTTATTAATCAGTTTGATAAATTTGGTGCCTTGGTATGCGTATTCACTTTCAATACTCCCAAGAATAATGGCAATTGTTAGACAGGTAAACAAACTGGCTGAGACTGAGGCTGAGACTGAGGCTGAGACCAAGTCTTAGACATGAGACAAAAAAGACAGACAGCTTCCTCAACCAATTTGTAAGGGGGCTTTGTCTTTGGCGACAGCTTCCTCAAAACATGCTTTTGAACTTGGCACGTATATTGTTGCACAAGTTGTTTGGCTGTGGCTGCTGCTGCCCCAAAGGGGCATAAATTGTAATTATGCCTGCCACTGTGGCAAACAATAAATCTCAAAGTATTTATCGTGCAACATGACAGAAGTGGGTCGTACCTGGGCCTGGGATACAATTGCATTCAACTAGCGCCTTCCCTTTTTTTTGCTTGCTGTTGTATTTTTTACTTCTATATATTTATTTATTTCTTTTTTTTTGCATATGGGGACTAACAACAGCCGAAATAAAATCAAAACATAAATGCGAGTTTAGAGGAATGTGAGTGCTGCCAACAACAACAACAGCAGCAACAACAGCAGCAACAACAGCAGCAACAACAGTGGCAACAACAGCAGCAACAACAGCAGCAACAACAGCAGCAACACCAACAGCAACAACAACAATGTCGACACAATTTAAATGCAGTTATGACTAAATGCAATAGTTATTTTTGTTGTTGTTGGTGTTGTTGTTTGTGCTGCTGCTGTCGCTTAAAATTGTGCGCATAACTTAAAACATGAAAAGTTACTTAGAGTCGCGGGGGCCTTTAATTAAAAGCGACAGGTTTCAAGAAATTCTGCGTTATTTGCATTGATGCAAGCTGCAGTTTTTGCAATTGCAGTTATTGTAATTACATATATGACGAACGAAGCCTGACCAAATGCCGCACCCAGTCAGAGTTTACAGTGCTGACACACATTCTGACTATGTTTGAAGATGCAAATGGAGCCGGCATTGGCGGTCAGGCGCCAAATTTATGTAATCAAAACCAAAGCAAAACCAAGCCAAACCAAACCAAAAGTCCAACTCCATGGAACGGCATTAAATTGCCAGCTCTAGAGCCAGCACTTGGCTTTGATGATGTCAGTTTAGACGACGCCAGAGATTCAGAGTCAGGCAATACGAAAAAAAACCTAAGCAAAAAGGTTATCGATGTCTCAAGATCGCGGGAGTGAAAAGAGTCAGGCTGGCAAAAATTTCACCCGTAATGCAATCACACGCAATGTCCGTGGCCCAAGACAAGATCTGCATTACCAGCTCTCTTCCAGCCTCTCTCTCTCTATCTCTCTCCCGCTCTCTCTCTCTCTCTTTTCCAATCTCAATATCTCTCTTGACCAAAGGGAAAGCGACTGCGTCTGTTTGCGACGTTTCTAGCCTGGGTCTTGGTCTGATTGGATGAGCTTATTTCTGATTTTTCTGATTTTTTCTGTTGGTTGGCTTTTAATTATATGTCTATGGAGTATGGTTAGCTATACTATATATAATGTTCTATGCCTGTGCAGCATAAATCAAAATGCTGGCAGGCATTTCACACTTGAACTTAATTAAAAACCTTCAAGAAGTTGGGCATAGAGCGGGATATTTTTGTTCAAAAATATCATAAATCAATGCAGTGCGAAAGCAAACGAATAAAATTCAATTTGTAATCAGAACTAAAAAAAAAGTGGAAGAAGAAGAGAGACCTGCAACGCCCTACAAAAATATTATAAAAATAAGCAGAAGTTGTGGCTTCAATCAGCGTTGCCAAAGCCAGAAATACCGCAAGCCTTAGAACGAATAGCCACATCTTCTAAGAATGCACTGGATGAAGCCAAATAGAGGTGATGTGGGGAAGAGTTATATATATATATATATATATATAGATAAACATATGTCGGTATGTATTGTAGATGAGGGGCTGTTGCTCATAAAAATGAACATGCCAAGCGGCTGTCAAAAAGGCAACGGCAACGGCAACGCTTTTGAGACGGCTACTCAAAAAAGCGCGGCCAAAACAAAATGTGTGTGTGTGTGTGTTGATTTGGTGTGTTGTGTGTGGTGTGTGTTGATTTTCCTTCTTCTTCTTCTGTGTTTTTGGAGTGACGTTTCGGGCTTGGCATTCAGAAGAACAAAAGCCAGCGCCGATGCGAAGCGATGATGCCCCAAGGGGGCCTAGAGACGGGACCGTGACGGATCGTGAGAGCAACATCTGTATTTGTGTAGAGCACAAGTGTTTGCTGTCAATGAAAAGTGGAGTATATGCAACGTTAAGAA